TTGAAACCAAGATGCTACCGCTGTCATCAGGCCAAGGAAGCTCTGGCTGTGCTTCCTGCGGATTCTCAACTTTGGCCACTGACCACAGTCCAGTTTCAGCTGAATGTGTTTCTTAACCTAGAGCTGGTGGCACAGTATTGATTTGGGATCTGGATCGCATTCTTATTTCTCATCTTCATGTGCTGGTGCCTGCACTGAAAAGCACTGAAATAGCATTGTCCTTTGGCTCTGCAGCGGAAGGGCCTTTGCTTCTAAAAGGGCAATCAAAAGGAGAAAACACCTTCGTATGAGAGGAGGCTTGCGCTTGCATATGTACTTGCATGCAAAGCAGGGTCTGGGTTGGAGATACTTGAATATCATCCTGGCCTGCTCAAGGATAACTCCTATACAACCAACATTGTCGTCACAATAGGACTACAAGTGCCAGAAACATCTGAGTTGGACTTGGACAGCACGGTCCTACTATATAGTGGTGTGGCCCAGGCATGTTATTTCAACAGCAAACAACAGAAAAGCTCAGAAGCAAAGAAACAATGCCAGTGAACAGTGGATCATGGCCCATGCGATTCATTGTCATCTTCACATGCCGTGGGGTCAAACGTAGGATGCCAAATATTTGAAGAAGTTGAATTCAAAATGCTACCGCTGTCATCAGGCCAAGGAGGCTCTGGCTCTGCTTCCTGCAGATTCTCGAGATGAGCAATTCATAGCAAATTATGAAGCCTCATCATCAAGCTACATGTGTTTCCGAACGTAAAGCTGTTGGTCATGACAGTATCAATTTCGGATGTGGATTGCCTTACTCCAGTTGTGTGTCTCACCATCTTCATTTACAGTACATCTTCATGCGCTGGTGCCTGCACTGAAAAACACTGAAAAACATTGTCCTTTGGCTCTGCAGCGGAAGGGCCTTTGCTTCCAAACTAGCTCAATCAATCGACTCTTCAAGCCAAAATCAACATATGTATGTACCTGCAGTATATGTCACAGCCTTCAAACGCCCAAAGCAGTCCACCAACCGCCAACAAGCCAACCTGAATCAACAAACCGTTGGTCTCTAATAATCTATTGGCTATTGGTCAAGTCACGGGCACGTTGTCCCTGTGATCCCATGGCTTTGTGATGGACGTTTGAACATCACAAACTTCCCTCTTCCCGTGGGCCAAGCTTCCCTCTTTGAGGAGACTTCCGCTGCTCTCCTGGCAGGTTCATGCTGAGTGACTGTGGCTCAAAGCCATGACATTTACATAGAGGTTGCGCTAAGGGGGGCCCCCCTCAAGCCCCACCAAAATAGTTTTAAACTGTTCTGGGGGCGTGTGCGATAGGTTGCTGATATTGATTCTGAATGTCATCCACTCTCAGCAGAACAATATCCTGCAATCTCAAAAAATGTATATTTGCGCCCCCCAACAAACTTGTCACCTGCCTACTATGCTTTCCTCCTCCCACACCTGACCATAGAGTGGAATATATTGAAAATGTTTCAACACCCATGGACTCAACGCCCGTGGAATTCTATGGAAACTATTGCCATCGGTACCACTACCCACCACTACCCATTGGAGACCGAAGGTCGAATTCCCAGATGACTGCATTCTTGGAGGTTCCTGTAGTACATCTGCACTTCCAGACCTCTACCATTAACAACTACACCCACCTATATATATATAATATATATATACATCCCTTTTCTCCCCACACCTCACCCACCACAGATTACAACCTATTGAACATATCCAAAACATGCTGTTAAAACAATCACATTCGCACACATTCGTAACGTAAATCAAACATCTTAACCATGGCTTCCTTGCTTCCAACTATTGAACGTCTCAATTCCAATCACACAACTCAGCCATCATGATCAAAATCATGAATTCCATACCTTTTTGGAACAATATAGTTATGTTGTGTTAAGTTATGTTAACATGTTTCTGGAAGTAGCTGACGCCCCCTACGAAACCCCCCTGACAGAGTTGTTCCAGAAACATGATTCCACCCTTTGACGTACCTCCTGGAATATATTTTTAATGCAACCTCTACACATTTACCACTGATTACACAAACAGGAATGTTTTAAATATTTCAGTATATATATATATTTATATACTTGATTGACAAATGAGAGAGCAAGAGCCTTGCACTTATCAGCTGTCCTTGGGCACAGCCAACTCTGCAGATCTCAGCTCGTCTTGCCAAAAGACCTGCCGTTTCAAGGAGCCATCCCAAGCAACACCCAGTCGGATCAAACCACGTCCCCAACGGGGGGGAAACGACTTCCCTCTACCGTCAACTGAAAATTAAATCTGAAAATGCCTCCAATACCGTCCCCAAACTGACAGTTCAACACATAGAAACCGTTTGAACATGGTTCTCTAATGTTTTTCCTTGGTGATCTTGTGCCTATTTGTCTGCAGGTCCAGGGTACACATCCTTGACCCAAAGTCTATTGCTTGTTCCTAGTAGCTTCTTGTTCCTAGTAGTCCGGCCAGGAGCCCCTAGTAGCATCTAGTAGCGTCATGTAGCGTCCTTGTTCCTAGTAGCAATGCCAGGAGCCCCTAGTTCTCGACGTCCGTTGGCGAAGCCTTGGCTCCCAATCACACCCCTCCGACCACTCCAGTGACCCCTCCTGTGGTGCGGGCGCGTCACCTGGCAGGGAGGATGCAGTGAACAACGGCGCAGCTGGCCGAAGACGGGAGCACAAAAGGGGCACCATCCTACTGCTTTTGCCCGAGGGTACTGGTTTTTCTGGTCTTGAAACAACATCAACAACCAACAAAGGTTTGCCTGAGGTGCCCTGAGGGTATGGGTCTGAGCGAGGGCCCACTCGGATCGCTTGGCCCCAATGCCATGAATTTTCCTCTGCCAGGTGGGGAGTGCACCGTGCGCTGTGCCAGCTGGGGCTATCTGCACGGCACAGGTGCTCTTTCACCAACATCCACGGCTTCTTGACTTCCCATGGCAGTCCATCAGCTGCATTCCGGAGAATTCCAGCTTTGTCCTCTGACAGGACACCGGCCTTCCAACAGGAGTAAGTGCCACTCCAAAAGAGGTGCAGCTCTGTACGAACTGCGCCCTTGAGAGCCCATCGTAGAACGGTTTGCCACAAAACACATTGGGGCGCCGGTACAAGATGCCCAGGACACTATCCACGGGGCTGGAGGCTAAGGTCTTCTTCTTGAGAGCCACTAGAAGCTCGACATGTTTGAATTTCCTGGCCACAGCAGTTGAACAGTATATAGCAATAAACAATAATAAACAAGGTTTCACGTCCGTACGGGCCCCCCGTCTTCGTGTGGGCAGTCCCATACGAAGTTGCGCTTCGAGTGTTTCACAAGTTTAAAAGTTGTAATTAGCGGCCTTTTTTCAGCCCTGGTCGGCACGCTCTCAGGTGTTTCGCGTGTGGTGGCGATACACCCACTGATGCACTCTATTCCACAGCCGTGGCTTCATTCACCAATCCTTTGGAGCGGTTCTTGCTTTGTGGCGGGATGAATTTCTTCATCCACGACCACAGCCGATCTAGCTGCTAGCTGCTGGGTGCCAAAGATCATCTGCTTCGAGTTGACCTTGGCTCTCTTAGTCCATTGACTCTTCACATGCTTGACATGTTTCACAGTCAAGCGCTTCGAAGGGTACTTGGCAGCAGCGGCCGACCATGCAAGTGCACCATCTGCACACAACAAAGAACCTGCTCGAACCTACACCGAGAATCCGGTCCTCCCGCGAACCAGGGGCCCGAGATGGTGTCTGCGGCGCGCTCTTGTCTGACATCCGGCTGCCAAACTCAAAAAAACCGCCCGACGAACACGCGACTCGACAAAACCACGAACCGACGAAAACACGAAACGACCCAAACACGAACCGACGTCATTCCCCCCCCACTCCCCCACCCCTGAATGACTGTTGGAACCCTGTCTGCTTCAAAAACGTGCAAATTCACGGGGGCCCGTACGGACGTGACACCATAAACAACGGTTACTATATGGTATATACAGTACACTATACAGTACATCTTTGGGGTCCTTTTGCGGTCTTCCCTTTCAAAAGGATTCAATTCTAGGTAACCCCACCGACGACGACAACAAGAACATATAAGAATGAGCAAGCCGTGTCCTGCGCCACAGGCCTTGTTCAATCTCTGGAGAGAGAGCAGCCAGCTTCTTGCCATCTACCCCAAAGGACTTTAGCTCCTTCCCGGAGGTTGGCAGCTTCAGAATCGAACAGTCTTTCACTTCCAAGTAGTCGGCCAAAGATGCATTGGTGGCTTTGCACTTCCTTCTCTTGCTCGGCTGACTGCAGCGCTCTTCCCTGGTGGTAGAAGGGATTTCCTCCGGAAAGGTACTCCAGCACTTGGGATCCGTGGAAGAAGAAGCCCTCTTCTTGATTAGGCGGAACGAAGATTATCATCAAACCACTTGGTAGCGCGCGCATGCCAATCCGCCAATCTTCAGGCAGCCAACCCGCTTCCGGCCAGTTTGGTACTGCATCGTCGTCCGTCACATATCGCATTCGCTTTTCATACTCCTCCTTCCCGGCAGGCTTTAGGGCCGGGTCCTTTCGAGGTCCTCTCGGGGCAGCGGAGAGCTGCAGGTGTGCCCTAAGGTCTTTCTGGTGCCAAAGAGCGCCGATGGATCTGGAGTGACATGTCCGGACCTTTCCAGTCTGTACGAAGGCCCTTCCATCCATCCGCCAGTAGGCCCAATGTCTTGGATCGATCACCGTGTCCTGCGGCCACGGTGATCGAGGTGTCTGCAGATCAGCATGGGGTTGAGCAACCAGTCGGCCACCCTTCCGGCTAGCAAAGGCCCCCTTGCAGGTGTGGAGCTGGCCAAAGAGAGGGCTCCCAGCCTTCTCCTTGCGCTGATCATCAGCCATGGCAGGTCAGGTCCCATATCAGGGCCACCCAAGGAGCCCAAGCTGATTAAAAATCCTAGAGACACATTCATTGTACTCAAGCCCTTTGTATATTGGAAGGCCTATCTGAACCACTCCGAAGAACTTTGGTACTTTTTCATCGCTTCGTTGAGTGCTTGGGTTCCGATGTGGGCAGGTGATGTGGGCAGCCGATTCAGTTTGTCCGCCGCACGCAACTTGTGACTGGCGGCGAAAGGCCAGCGGCGACACATATATTCAAAAACCGCAGCACATCCTGAAACTGTTTCCAAGTTCTTCCAATAAATTGTGCCTCCTGCTAAGAGAAGGGCTTGCTGCTCCTCTGACACTCCAAAACGAACAGCGATTGGACAATGCTTGCCTTCTGGCACTCTTGCACATTCTTGATCTGTGATTCATGATGCACAAATTGAGGAACTTGTAACATGGACTATTGACTGGTCAGGGTGCCATTCCTGTCCTGGCCATGCTCCAAACCTGAGTTTGCAAAACTCGCCGAAGCACACCATTCACGTTAGTCTAGTCACCACCACTACGATGTAGTCCCTCGCTAGGGCCGCTTTTGAATGTTTCCGCCACCAAATCAGTGGTCTGGGTCAGGGCTGCCACTAATTAGCTTCTTATGGCCAACTGCGAACCCTGATTTGCTCTTATATAGTTTAGCTCAAACAAACAAATACACAGCAACTAAACACAAAAACACAAACAAACACCAAAGCAGCACCAAACACCAAACCCAACAGCACAGCACAGCACAACACAACACACACACACAATATGTGATACGACCTTACAATGAAATTAACCGTGTGCCGCTAGCAAGCCCGACTTGAGGCCGAGGGTAGGTGACGAAAGCTAGCAGGGGTGCATCCGGACTTGTGGGACATCAAGCGGAGTGAGGAAAATGCTCATGAGGTAAAACGTTGTGAACATGTAAGACACACAAACAGCAATGACACAGCCAACCTTAGAATTGAAGTCCCCGATAATTAAGGAAGCGTGGCTGGACTTTGCCACATTGTTCGATGCATCCGATGTGTTCACGAACATGTGAGCTTGTTGAATCTGTTGCACCGTATCCCGGAGGAGTTAAGCCAAAGTGGATGCCATAAGAGATGCCCGAGAGGTGTCCCAGAGGCGTCCGAGGGGGGAGTTGAACCCACGGGGGGGCGGGAGGGGGGGCCCCCAAATTTTCACGTGATGCGGCGATCCCGAGGATTCCAGCCCCTCACTTGCTAAAGCAAGGACAACTCCAGCTAGCTGGTACTAGCTTTCGTGATATGTGCGAAGTTCCACCGGATGAGCTTCTTCTGTTGGTTTGTGCCCTTTTGGTGTTGCATCCAGGTGGCCAGTGCCGCCAGCGCTGGTGGGCCACGCCTCACCAGGCAGGAGAAACGGGCAAATGGCCAAGTTCAGGTCATTTCCACCAAATGCCCTTGGGGGATTCTATGATGATTCCGATTTTTTCTCAACCCAGGCTGGAATGTAACAGAATATATAAACGCCTCTATACCCTTGTGGAGACTCTTTTTGTCGTTCATGTTGACCCACCACCGGATTGAAATTGCAGATGGAATCCGCACTGGGCTCTATCGGCGGATCCTGGACGGGTTCCGATTTGGACGGTCTCCGCAGAACGAAACCACGCAATCTCCGCGAAGCACCGGCCTCTTGCCCTGCCATCAGCCGCCGTCGCTTAAAACGCCGGGCGATTGAACTGCTGGGAGCCACTGGATGAGCTAGGCAACCCCCATGTTGGGCTATGGTGGGACGGTCGGGGCGTTGTGTTCTGCGCAAAAATAATCAGAAGCTATGGTTTATAATGTCAATGGATATATGCATAGAATTAGAAGGCATGCCGTTTGAGGCCGTCGGTTGGGGACAGGAAGCGAAGGACGATTGAACGATCTGAGGAACTTTGCTGTGTAGTTGATGTGGTTCATTGTCGATTCTTATGTTTATTTTTTGCGAGTCTTCCACCACAACTACTGCACAGTTTGAGCCATAATCTAGAGGTGCCGCGGGTCCCATCCCTTCATCAAACTTACAAGGAATCTATGAATCTGGCAGTCAAGGACGCAGTGAACGGCCCATGTTCAGTTGATGGGCAGCAATCACCAAAAGCACATCCGTCATGAATGGAAAAGAATCCTCCAGGGAACGATACCACCCTCTTCCAGGTGGCAGTCAGCCCTCATTTGAAGTGGAAGGATGTTATAAACCCACTAGCTGCTTCTTAAACCCACTTCGCGTGGTCAGCTTTGACATCCGTTCAGCCCACACTTGCTGGAACCAATGGCATCAGCTTGATACGTTGTGGGCTTCGCTCTGAAGCCAATGGCAGCGCCTGGAAGTGTCGAATCACTGGAGCAAAAAGGGGATCAGCCGCCCACTCCTGCAGGGTTGACTACTTGAAAACTGGGTTCCAGAAAAGGGCCCGGGCACCACAATGTTTGGAGGCAAATGCTTGTCTAGGATGACCAACATACTCTTTTTCAGTAAGACTTCAGTAAGACCCTGCACAGACTTTCACCTTCTGTAGGGGCGTTGCCTGCGAGATATACTATCGATAGAAACACCTTGTAAACCTGGGGTCTGCCCAGGGTTCTCTTAAAAGCCTCTGACAGTCTTACAGAAAGGGAGTGAAAGGGGAAGTTCGGTCGCACGAGCTTCCCCTCAGTCCTGCTGTGCTAGAGCCCGGCCCTCCGAGTCCTCCCAGAAGCACAATCCACTCACTCCAAGTCACATGGACAACACCGTTTCAGTAGAGAATGTAAAAGGCAAACGCCATCCAAATGTGGAAGCGGAACATAGCACTCATCAACCGATGTGAACTGTTTTGAACTGGTCTTGATTGAAAACCACATTGCTGTCAATGGGAAGAGGGATCTGTTAGAAAATGCAAGCATGGCAGTCCCAAGCTCATAAGCTCTAAGCACAAAACATTCCCATGAAACACGGGGGTGCTTTCATGTGATTTCCACCATCGCGCTCTCTCGTGGTCCTGATCAATCGGGCTCGCAACGGGTGCAACATGGTGCAACCTTCAAACCATTACAGTTCGTTGGTGTCTCTCATCCATTGTATGAACGACTCTCCTTCAGTGCCAAGAGCCTCATCCCCAGTCCCTCATTTCGGGGTCACCCAGTGGCTCCAAGTTATCTGGCTCTGTCAAGCCCAGCGTTGAATGGCTCTGGCATCTGAGAACAGCACACGGACAACAAAAACAACTACAGTAGTCAGTAGTGGGGAAAGAAATCTTGTTGGAGGCACCTGGCTTCATTCACAGTCCACCCTGCACCATTAGAAACAACCCAAAGATACACTACAAATACACCACTGGTTACAAGTACCACCAGCCAAGGTTGCCACTTGTGCCTTTAGTGTGCATTGTGCTCCTGCACATCCTCCCTTCACATAGCAAGGACGCTACTAGGGGCTCCTGGCATCGCTACTAGGAACAATGTTCGCTACTAATAACAATCCCTTCACATCCCTTGTGCTTTGGTATTTTGGTGCGCCTGCAGCTGCACGGGACGGCGCCAGGGAGCCATCCCAGCAACGAGGGAGTGGAAGCAAAGCATCCTGGAGAGGCCAGGCAAAACATCCAAAGCGTCACTTGAGGATCCAAACGGGGCATTACTACTAGTGGCAAGGACCCTACTAGTAGCTCCTGGCCTTATTACTACTAGTAGCAAGAAGCTACTAGTAACAAGGGCATGGCTACTAGGAACAAGGTCGTTCTTTTTTCATGAAGATGATGGAGCGATCAATTTCTTCAAACAAACCGTGTGGGAGGAAAACTGCCCGCCTCCAAAGGAGCCCTCAAAAAAAAGAACATCATAGAATATCATTTAGAATATCATTTCAGAATAGGATCTGATGCAAACAGTTTGAAGGGAAACAACCAGGTACCAACCGGTGGCTCGAGTTCCAATTTGGGTATCCCAGCGGGCCATCTTAGAATGGCCTGCCTACCAGCTGTAGTCATCAAAGCACCATCCTCTTTTGATTGGCCGGTGATTTCAACACTCCTCAAACTCCTCCACAAATGCTACAGCCCATTGGACCAACATTTCCCAATAGCTCACAAACAAAACTGGTCCCTGTCTCTCCATCCGCTTCGTTGAGCGCGGGCGACACCGCCTGGTCGCTCCCAAGCGCGGCTGGATCGCCCTCTGCTCCAAGGGGGCCCAGTCGGTCAGCAAGGGCCACAACTGCTGGGTGAACTTCGCCTCAGTGGTGCCCGGTGCCGAGACGAAGCTGGACTCAGCGCAAAAACGATCTTCCGAACAAACGCTGCAGGTGGACTTTTTGGCCCAACAGGTGGCCTCCAACAGTTCAAACTTCAAGTGCAAAAAGGCTTACTGTAATTATCTGTAAATTACTGTATGGGTACAGTAATGGTACATTAGGGTTACTGTTCCACACTCCGTTCGCTGATCTACGCCCCAGGTGCGCATAAATGTGGGATCTCCTGGATGCAGTTGATGGGTTTCGGCACGAACTGCATGCAGAACTCGATGGAATCGCCTTGGAGCTCAAGGGAACAGTCGTCCAGGAAGAAGATCCAACGGCGACCATGCACTTCCTCACGGCAAAGCGGATGATACCGGATGATACCGTGTTGCTTTTCTTTTGCTGTATCTTGGTGTCTGTCTAGTCTAGTTCTTGTATGTTTTTGTCTTTAAAGCTCTGCTTGCCGGTGCCCGTTGCCGGATCACAAACATAAACTATATATGGTGTGCCAGTTGTATATATATTATATATATATATCTACTTGGCGACTTGGCGATCTGATCTCCAAACTTCATCTGGAAAGAACTGCATCTGCTGCAAAAACCCGTGCATGCATCCTCCCTTCTCGGTGTCCTTCAAATCCTCGTTGGACATGATGAGGGCATAGAGTGCCAAGGTAGTCCTTGTCACATGCCATATGCAATGCCATGCAATGCCATGATGCCATGCCACAATATGGCACAGGCCACTTCAGTTTTGGCATGCCTACCTTGATAGCATTCCTCCTCAATGACTCTCCGACCCGAAATCCATGCCAGGCATCTCCACGGCATGGTGACCCCAATTGTGTGCTGCGTGCCTGGCATCGTGAACTTCCATCCGATCCGTGCCTGACTTCCTCTACACCGCTGAAGACGACCACGGCCAGTGACGGCGACCCCGTCACTTGAGTGGCCGCGGGCGAACGAGAGCGCTCTTGCAGACTGCCTCATGGCCAAATACACGGGCACGTCAATCCAAGATGCTTCCGTCTCCCGAGCCTCCGAGACCGAATCAAACCAACGCCGCGCGTGGAGGTCTTGGGCCTGATGTAGGGGTACGAGTCATGGAACAGAAAGTGATGCACAAATAGTAATCCAGGAAAATCACGGAGTATGACGGATGTCTCGGTATGACGGAATTAAGAACGTCAAGAGTCACCTGTCAGCATGCTTGCTCCATCTTGCTCCTCTTCAAGACTTGGCACGGACCCTTCGGGTTCACGCCAGCGAGCCTCCACCAGATTGGGCTTCCAGGTCATGCGGCTATCGCTGAACATCGAGAGGCCCACCATGTAGTCCTCGCCTCGGGTCCGGCACCAGAGGTGCAGCTAGAGGCGCAGCTGGGCGTTCAGCTGGGCGTTGTTCGGGCCATGTTCTTGGGCAAAATACGTCAAATCATCCAATCAGCCAACACCTCCAATAGACATTTTATGACTCAGAATGACTCTGATTCTATCGAATTCTATAGACATATGTCAGTCTGTCTGCTTTGGTCTTCGCTATAGCCGCTAAGGTCATTGCTTGGGCCTCCATAGAACTCAAAACTTTCCGCCTCGACATCGTAGCACCTCGGCGATCGCACAGGTCAGGGTTCCGGGTTTGAGTCCCAAGAAACGAAGTAGCAAGGATGCTACTAATAGCTATTTGCTCATAGTAGTAATGCCAGGAGCCCCTAGTAGCGCCCTTGTTCCTAGTAGCGATGCCCTTTGCTCCTAGTCCTAGTAGCAAGGATGCTACACATATCTGTCTCATGACACTAGGTCAGGGTTCCCTCTTTGGAAAAGGCACGGCGGTGTATGTATACAGATGCATACTATCCGCCTGTTTTGGAGCACAAGAAGAAAGGACTTCCCACTGTGCTGGTGCCTGAGCAAAGACTCAACGCGGGCGATCAACATCCTCCATCAGGAGCCCCATGTTCAACCATGATCTAAAAAAAAGCAACGAAAAACATGGCAAAACCCAGCAAAGGCATGCTGCATGCGGCCCGCCTCCCCTTTTCGCCAGATGGAGGCATGGCCCCTTCCCCCATGTCGGACTGCTGTCTCTCGAGGCTCCGCACATCCGTCGGAAGCGGCAGCTGCGCGTCACCCAGTTATGACCGGTGCAGGACGCTGCCGAGCTGCTGGGTGAGCGCGCGGGGCGTCGGGGCGGCAAAGGGGCGCTCGGAGGATGCCAGCCTGGGATGGAAAATGGTGAGAATGGAGGAGACTTTGGAGAGTGGGTGGTGCACCCTAGACTCTTAGACCTGTTTGCACAAAGCCGAGTGCTGGGTGCCGAGAAAATGGAACAAACCAAAGCTATCTAGCCTTGCATGTAAAGAGTAAAGTAGTTCAAGACTTTGTTTCATTGTGCCCCCAATCAAGTGGCCATGGACGGCTGGCTTCTCATAGTTCGATTGTTCAACAGCAACGATCAAACAATGTCCTGTTCCTACAAGGATGGCTTTGGGGCAAGGCATCGCAAGGTATCAGCCAATGCAAGGTGACCAAAGATCCTGGGTGTATTGAAAATAGGGAGGCCGGATGGAGGCCGGGAGGCCCCCAACCAAGGGGTTTTGGATGGTGGTTTGTTCTTGGAGGTCTTTGGGGAGGTCTCCTTGTCTCTTCTACACACTTGCATCGATGCACTGCCAGCTGAGCGGCCGGTCGATCGGCACCGCATGGGCGCGAGCTCTGCTGACCAGCTGTAGGCCCTGGGAAGGGTGGCGCCTGGCGTTGGAAACATGAAGGGCGGGTGCCCTGCCGACTTGGACGATGAGGATCTGTCGGCTACACCCCACCTAGGGATTTAGGGTGCTGCAACTTCGACAAAGCTCGTCTGTTCAGGCTGGCTGATCAAGTAAGTTGTTGGGGCTACTCTTGGTTTTGCCAAGCCGCCCAGCTGGATGTTCTCTTGCTTCTGCACCTGGCTGATGGATGTCTTTTTGGGCCCAACACGTGAGCCTTGAGTGGCCAAATGCGCCATGTGAAACACATTTCAAAAGCTCCTAGTGGCGTTCTTGCTCCTAGTAGTACGGCCAGGAGCCCCTAGTAGCGTCCTATGGGACTACTCAGGGCATCCCAGGCCCCATGTTCTCGTGGCCCAATCCTGGACGGGTCGGGAATATCGATGGTCCTCACGAACAGGGTATGAGGACCACCCCCGCTGCGGTTCTGCGGCAGTGGAGCGTGATTTTTATGCACGAACCCAAAACAGCAACCGTGTATTATATCCAGACCCAGATATGGAATCTCACAAAAATCAAAGATGTTGAGGAAAGTCGTCTTTCAAATCTTCCACGGGTTCATCTTGCACTTCCATGTTTGTCCAACAGCTGTTTCCCGGTGACGCAGGTGCCCCAAAACACCTTGTTGTAAGGGTACTCAAAACTGCCGACCGTGGAAGGTTGTGTGCTTCTTCCATGTTTTGGTGGAAGAAATCCTTTTCGAGTTGCTTGCCTTGAGGAAGTGTGAGGACTGCATCACTGGGAGCACAGCAGCATGGCAGCTGGAGCAGTTGCCTCAGTGAGCACTTCAAGGCAAGCAATACTGAGCTGGTAGATTGCCTCAAAACCCGGATCTTCCCTGGTTGGGTGGTGAAACACTGTAGAAGACTCAGGGCCGGGTTTGCTGAACCTATTCCAAACTCAGACCCTATCAGTCGAGGCTCGATAGAGCATGCGAGCTCCAGTTCCAGCAAAGGCCAGGATGTCCCCGCGCCAAACGAAGAGCTCCTGGAAGAGGACATCCCCCCGAAAATCAATGCGACAAACGAGCCAAGACGCATAGAAACATGCAAACATGCACGGGGTATTCTCAAACTCCCTAGCAGTGCTTACAGGGATATATGATCACGTATGATATCCAATAGAATCTAGAATCTAGAGTCTCATCAGTCACGGTCCTCCCTCACCATGTCACCGGCGAACACCATGGTGCCCCGGCGCACGTACACCGAACGCCCAGCGCTGATGCGCGGCCGCAGGAGGATCACATCGAGGCGGATCTCCTGACCCAGCCCTGTGGAGAGTCATGTTGAATCTGGAGACATTGGGACTCTGAAAATGCCGGATATACATATTGGGTCCATCATATATCAACGTAACATATATAAATCCACAATATGTTTTTCCAGCATTTATATTATGCTTGTAGAGGAAAACAATCCTGTTAGTTTGTGCCATTCGACCTGGGTCCATGTTAGTTTTCCGGAGTGTACCACCAATCACGGGGATCCGAATTCTAGGACTGCCCCAAGATTCATTGACCGTGTTAGATTATGAAAACCGACCAGATTCATCAACAGTCGCATCTAAAAGGCTTTATTTGTCACATTCGATGAAGAACGTGTGGAAGGCGTTGCCCCCTCACCCAGCCAGTGTGAAACCATGAAAACACATAAACGTAAGATAACGTACGGTATTTTCACACCAGTCCGATATCCAACCAACGAAACATTGGGATTGGAAACAGGCGTGCCTCGCGTGTCAACTTTTCACAACGATTCAACACGTATGGCACCAAATCATCTGCAGTCCAAAAGCTCTCTGGTGAGTTGCGAGAGGGCCAGCTGTGTCCTGGTCCTCTTCGGATACAAAGGGAAACTCGAGGTTGGTGAGGCGGCCATCATAGGGCATTGGGTGATCCAAATCGGCGAAGAATAAAGGAGTCTTGTCCCATCCTAATCGCAGCGAAAACTAGGCAACAAGTCCCAGTCCTGCACCAACTCATGTCACAGTGGATGTACTAGTAGGAAACGGCCTCTGTGTAACAAAAGCCGGTCTGTCTTGTAGGGATTTGTCCCAAACAGCATTGTTCGAGTCAACGGAGGGATGGTCAACTCCATCGAACCAAATGATCTGCATCTTGCAGCCACTCCAAAAGGTGGATTTCGTCCAGACCATGCTCCCAAACGCCGCCACAAATCCAATGGCATCTGCCGGCTCCGCACCAACCTAGCAAACTTCTGCACATGCGGCAACATTGAGTGAGACATATGATGGAGCATACAAGCATGCATTCAATCTTGTTTTGCCTCTTGCCTGTCAGGTTCATCGTTCAAACAGTTTCTTCA